TATCACCTCCACCCTGGGTTGATTTTCCAGCCACAAGCTCTCCCCTACAGTGGGATTCTGCACGTTCCCTGCCACCTCCAGCCACGTTTTGGTCCCCACTGGTGATTCCTCTCTCACCGTGCAGATGAGTTCACCCCGTGCAAGGACACCACGAGGTTTTGGGGTGGCCCAAGAGAGCCTCGGGCACAGCCTGTCCTGCTCACCTCCATGAACTCCGAGCTGGAACCCACATGCTGGCGGAAACACAGCAGGAAATTCTCCTCCGTGGGCAGGATCTGGGCAAGCTGTGGGGGACACGAGTGTCAGGGGGGGACCATGAGCATCGCGGGGGGCTGCAGGGCCAGCACCAGCACCACTCACCTCTGCCATCTCGATTTTGCCATCTGAGTTCTTGTCGTACTTGTGCATGAACTCCTTCATCTTGTCACCCAAATCGTCGTACTTGGAGTCCTGCTGGTGCGGAGAGGGGACAGGAGCTAAATTTAACCCCCCACCCCGTACCCGTGTCCCCTCACTTTCCTCCTGGAGGCTCCCTGCTCGGGAGCGACCCCTCAGGCAGGAGGGGACGAGGAAGGAGGGAGCAAACCCAGGAGAGGCCCTTACCACTCCCGCCCCCTTCCTCGCGCTTTCCAGCTCCTGGAAGAAGTTTTCCAGCTCTTTGCCTTCGATGTAGCCATTTCCTGGGGAAGGGAAAAAAAGATGCAGTAAGACCCCCCCTCATGCCCGGTGCCAGAGGGAGGGAGGGATGCTCTCGGGGGACACAGCACTTGTCCCCTCCATGCAGGGACACGGCTCTGAGGTGACTGTGGCAGCAACAAAACACCAGCCGATGCCGAGTATCACCCAAACCAGTGCCAATGCCTGAATTTGCAGAGTGCCGGCGCCCCCCGTGTTGTAGCCTGAAGGGGGACATAGCCTCAGCCTTGTCCCCTGCCCCTGCTTGTGTGGCTCTGTCCCCATCCCCGGTGCAGGGGACATTGTCTCCCTCCCAGTGTTTGTGGCATTTGTTGCGTCTGATGCTGTAACCAGGGGGTTTAACTCAACCTCTCCTGCCTGAGTGTCCCTGACCAGGACTGTCCACCCTCGCCTCACTGCAGGGGCCAACAAGGGCCAACGGGGAGCAGAGATAAGGCACCCAGCACAGCATCACACCCTCCCCCCCTCCCCGGGCACAGGACTAGCCCCAGGATGGGATCAGCCCCCAGGGTAGGGAGCCCAGCACTCTCTGAGGTGACTGGGGGCTCAGAAAGGTCCCTGTCCCATTTCCCCACCCCTCACTGATGCTGTCTGTGCTGAGATGGGATTACCACGGAATCCAGGGGATCCACAGGGGGATTCACAGATCTCCCCTACCTCTGGAACGCTCAGTAGCAGGAGGGCTCAGCCAGGACCCAACCATGCACTGCTCCCCCAGCAGTGACCCTTGGTGGCTTTGAGAGGACAACCAGGGGACCGCAGTGAGGACGCAGCTCCACAGATGCTGCCACCACCCTGCCACAAAATCCTCCCTCCCACCAACATCCGGCCACAGCTGGAGAATGCTGCTCTTTGTTCCAAAGAGAGATGGCCAGGCTCTCCTTGTGGGCATCCCCCCCAAAACCTCTCCCCACTTCAGCCCTGGGTGCTGGGACCGCAGCGCCTCTGGCACCGTCATCCGTGGGCTCCCTGGCAGCATCTTCTCCCTGCAGCAGCCTGGACGCCAGGAATAACCAGCCACAGCCCAGCTGGAAGTGCCTGGGGAAGTCCCAGGGCACCTTCCTCACCGACGGCTGCATCCCAATGGATCCTCACGAGGGGCTGAGGGGCTCGGGAGGTGTCGGGGTGCCGGTCAGAGCTGCTCAGGCGTTTGGCTTTCCCCTGCCCTTCCCAGGGACTTTGCTTTTGCGGGTGCTAGAGAGCCCAAAACTCCTTTGTATTCACTTGGAAAAAATATCTGGCAAGAGTTTTGAGCCGAGAAAAAAGAAAAACGCCAACAAAAGCCATGGCAGGTAGCTCGGTTTCCCCCAGGCAGCAGCTTGGACGGGTCTGACCCGGGTCCGCAGAGCAGCGTGGAAAATCCCCTCTGGAGAGCGACGGCCGCACCCCGGAGCCGCGGGGCAGCCAGGGCTGGACATCAAACACACCCCAGGGGACATCGCTGGAGCGGGAGGAGCTTTCAGGGGACACGCGTGAAAAC